AAATGTAGAATACCTTTTCATTTACTTTGAGAAAGTCACAGGACGTATATAAATTGGTCGGTCGTTGAGTGTTGTATATAATTTATAGACCTTCTAGTGGTTATCTACTCCGTCAAATTTATATAACTTTCATCATTACTCCCCATTGGACGGAATAAATCGCGGGTCATACCAAATATGAAAATTTAAATGGAATTATAATAACTTCAAATAAAAATCGGATAGGTGACAACGAAACCACAAGACACACTGTTGAGCACAATCAAAAACGTAGAAACTCGTATCGATCGAGGAAACATTGACTTAATTTCGATACATAATACTGAGATCTTGATGATAACCATAGTCCCCAGCAACCTGCATCTCTCGAAGTCACGTGTTTTAAGTCTGTCAGTCATTCTTCGAAACAGAGGACTTATAAAGTCTTTAAGCCTTTTGTCAATTTTTGCTATTGTTCTTTTCTTCTATTCTATAATAAAAATGTGAAATTAAAAAACAAAGCGGAAAAATAGAAACATTGTTGGTCATAGGGTAAGGATAGACCGAGGCGAGTGTTTCATGTGGAAGAGTGTTCCGCAGTGTCATTGCTTTGAGGTCCATTTACACACATGAACTATAAACTTAGATTTTGTATTGTTATTCTAATATATGAAGATTCTGTATATAGTTTTCTTTAGAACAAGTAGTTGTTAGTACGCCAATTCATCAATGCTCTAATCTTACAGTATACTGTAACTGTACATATTTTAGCGGAACTTTTATTTCCAAAACAACAACAAAAACACGTTGGCCAAGAGAGGACACAACCAATGGATCAGCTGAAAATCTTGTCACCATGCTCATAGATATTATCACCCAGATAGTGTAAACCAGTAGTTCAATCATTCTCAAGATTTCATTCTTGGAATATTTAGCATATTTCCTTTGTCGATAGCTCCTGTAATCGAAGTCGATCATTCTGTGTATTCCGTCTTTGCGTATTGCAGAGTTATCTTCTCTTGGGAGCAGTTATTGATTGTTACGTCATTGGTTTGTGCGAGAAAATTACGTCGCTTTCTCAAAAATGATGACGTTACCGTCACAAACAAGTGACGTAACAATCAATACCTGCTTCCAAGGGAAGATAACTCTGCAATACGCAATGACGGAATACTAAATGACGAATGAAGTATTCTACTTGCAAATATGGAAACATCAGCATGTGTTAATCATATTTCGAGAATTTTTCATGGCAAGTGTTGCTGTCTTTATGTTAGTTATTAGAAAGTCGTAGGAAATTTTATTCTTAAAAATTGCTGTCAATCATTAAGTCATACTTGGGCACATATCTTTAATACTTCTCTCAGGTCAGGTATTTTCCCCATTTTGTGGAAAACAGCTCAAGTTTGTCCTATTCATAAAAAAGACAGCAAAAATGATGTTAAAAATTATCGGCCAATATCACTTCTTTCAAATATATCTAAATGTCTTGAAAAAATAGTATACAAACGTATTTATGAATTCTTTTTGGCAAATAACATTCTTATCAAAGAAAACTCTGGATTTAAAAGAAATGATTCTACCATTAATCAGCTGTTAAAAATAATCCACAGCATTTATAAATGTATAGATAATGTTGGGGATGTTTGTACAGTATTTTTAGATGTCTCAAAAGCTTTTGACAAGGTGTGGCACGAAGGTCTACTTCACAAATTAGAAAACATAGGTATTAGAGGTAGTTTGCTTTGTTGGCTTAAAAGTTATCTTTATAATAGAAAACAGTATGTAGTCTTAAACGGTCAATCTTCTGGTCATAAATATATTAACTCTGGTGTCCCCCAGGGCTCGATCCTTGGACCGCTCTTATTTTTAGTATATGTAAACGATATAAATGTAGGCATCTCATCTGACATTAACTTATTCGCTGACGACACATCTCTCTCATCAACCATAAATAGCAACGAATCGGTAAATACACTAAACGACGACTTAACTACTCTGTCTCAGTGGGCAAAGCGATGGCTTGTCACATTTAACGCACTAAAAACTGAATTTGTTATTTTCTCTAAAAAAAGATTTGTTAATAAACCGAACCTCCTGCTTAACAACATTCCGATTAAACATGTAATTAACCATAAACATCTGGGCATAATTCTATCGGGTAACCTCAGCTGGCATTCTCATATTTCAGAAATTGTAGCCAAAGCAAACAGAATACTAAATATCTTACAAGCATTAGCTTATATTATCCCACGTTCTTGTCTTGAAACACTATATAAAACTATGGTAAGATCGGTTATGGAATATGGCAATATTTTATTTGATAACTGCAGTCAGCAAGAGTCTGACCTTATTGAAAGTGTTCAGCGTAGGGCGGCATTAATATGCACAGGCGGTTATAAGGTTACCAAATATACTAAACTGCTGGGTGAATTGGGATGGGAAAAACTAAGTGAGAGACGAAAAAATTGCAGACTTAAAATGTTATTTAAAATTAAGCATGATCTATGTCCGCCATACTTGAAAACTATTTGTCCAATTCAGAGTCATCGAACACAAAACTACAACTTTAGAAATTCTAATACTATTCTTTCTATCCTCTCAAGAAAATCTTTCTATCACCAATCCTTCTTTCCAAAATCAATACGAGACTGGAACAACCTACCTGAAGCATTGAGAAATAGCTCTTCACTAACGTCTTTCTCTCTAGCACTGTCAAATCTATCCACTCCACAAACAAACTCTTTATATGCATATGGACATGGGAAAGGAAAAATCAATCACTCTAGAATAAGAATGGGACTAAGTGCTTTAAACAAACATAGATACTCTTACAATTTAACTAATAACAAATTCTGTGACTTCTGCGCGAACTCCTCCGAAGATGAAATTCATTTCTTTTTACTTTGTCCAAAATATAACCGAATTCGTTCCAATATGCTCCGTGCTGTTTGTCATATATTCGCTCCAAATATCAATTCCAACCTTATTGTAGAGCTCATGCCAAATGTTCTTGTCAAAATAATTTTATGTGGATTAGAAACTCTAAACGAAATTGAGAACAAAACATTATTTGACCATGTTGTTGAATATATCGTAAATTCAAACAGATTCTGTCTCTCTCTCTCTCTCTCTCTCTCTCTCTCTCTCTGTTATGTGTGTATGTGTGAGTGCAAGTGTGTGCGACTTTTGTACGTCTTTTGTGTAATTGTACATATTGTATGTTTGATATAAGTTGAGGAGAGCATCTAGTAGCCTTCGGGCTGTTTGTAATCCTCGTAAAATAAATAAAGAATTAAAAAAAAAAAAAATATGTCGTAATTGAGATTCATCAGATGCGGGCTTCCCCTACAGAATCGGGTTTCTTCTGGAGTATCTGCTTGTAAGTCATTGCGAAACTGACATTAATTTGCTGCCTCCAAATGCAACACTTTGAATCAATGCCTTTTCTTCCATCACTTCCCTACTCTTTTCCGTTTTACCCAAAACAAACAAACAAAAACTCCGATAGAGGATTTGGGGCTAAGCATATTTTTGTTTATCTAAGTTAATATTTCAAGGCAACCAAATAGGTCTACACATTGTTTTACTGTGTAGAGTTAAAGGGGAACGTGTCAGGATGAATAGGTGAAGCAGTATAAAAAGGGTGTGCTTCTTGATGCAATTACCGCATCTCTTCTTCAAGGTGTTTCGGCTGTTCACATGATTAAGATAATTGATTCAGACAACAGCCTAATAGATTCATTTGAGGATTTTTAAGGAATCGACCCACTTATTTTTCATTTAATGAAATATATATATATTGGCGCATTAATGTGCCCTGATCGATGTCAAGCAATACAATGACAAAAATAAGACCATACAATACCAAACCGAACCAGACTATGTAAAAATGTTTATTATCTAAAAGGATATGGGACATTTGAATGCATGACAAAGCAACTGCCTTAATAAGGCAAGTGCCAGAGACATTTGATCCTGACAAGTGCTGTTTACTAAAGCAGTTGCTATGACAATTACCTACTTAATACAGACAATTCCTCAGTATTAAAGCAGTTGCTGTGACGTACCAACCAGCTTCCAATCAGAAGCTCTAAACACATGTTTATGTGCGCTCCAAAATTTGGCCGCGTTGCATTATAATAGACAGTTCTCATTTTGAGGCAGAGCTAGCACGGATACTTCAGGAAACATCTCAAAATTATTTTTCATTTCATCTGTTGTAAGGATTATTGTCGACTTGCTGGCGACAATACCCTTGATAATTATCTTTCAGTATTTCTTACTTACAGTTACATCCCCTTGCTTTCATTACGACAATTGATTAACTAATCTTGACTGATCTCTCCATACTGGGTGTTTTTTCAGAAAAGATTTTTTAAAGATACAGTTTATCCTGAAACAAAGCTACAGTTGTTGGCAGTAGTATAGAAATCCGAAAATTCTTCTAAGAATAGTATAAATACGACCCCCCCCCCCCCTATTTAAATAGTCTGCCCGTGTTGCACGAGGAAAAGAAGAAATTAGCAAAAAACTGAATAAATTTCTACTTTCTTCTGTTGTTATTTCTCAGGAGAATACGCATTAATATATCAATACAGGAAACCACTCCTTTTATGGCTTATTGATGTAGCTTATCTACTTTTAAAATAGATAACAGAATGATAATGATCGCTTCGTGGCCATCATGTTACTGTTGCAAATGAACATTCATAACGTTAATTTATCACCAAGTGACGCTAATAAACGTTCGTTCGTCCTACCACCTCTCTGTACGAAAATGCAATGCAACGAAGAGACGAAGATGTATGGAGCATGTACCTGCAGGTAAAACGCTAAAATAGATAGACACCGTATAAGCGTTGAACATTTCTTACGCAATATGGAAATATCGCGTCAGTCCCTGTCACTCTGGTAAAAAACTAACTTCTTCCTACTGTTTTTTGTTGTCACGGCGTTGTCAGAATAATAAAACAGAGATCCAGAGTGAGATCCTTAGCGGAGACAATGGAATGTTTATTACGACGGTTACTTACTTGCCACAGTGAGCCACAGAATAGACTTTAACAACTGTGGTCACATGTCACATACTCCTGTACCAGGCGTTGCGGGAATGTCTTGTAAATGCGTCTCGATACGATGTTACCTGTTAACTTACCTGTAGTCGCGTGCATGTGTGTGTACATACTCTGACATACCTTTTTTCGAAATGACCTCTGCATTTACAAGGTCTCTGTATCTCCGCGCTCCGTGTTAGGTCGACCCCAAAATGAGAAAGGACTACTAGTGGAGAGCGGTCGCCGAGAGCAGGTAAGTACACATCATCTCAATATTTGCCCTCCTTCTTTTTGTAGTTTGTCGTGATTAAGTTATACCAGTAAATAAAAAATCTTTCCTTAAGAAGAAACAAATAAGGATTTCCTAATTCAGTCAGCAAATATATTGTTTTGCGACATATCAATGTGTTATCTGACAACCAGGTAAATGTGAATACGTAGGTCGATCAAGGTCGGTGATGCTCTCACCTGAATACGCGTCTCATACTTGAGCACTGTTTGATATGTCATTTTTCAAATATTCGGCTCTTGTACATACATTAAGTTTACTTTGCTCTTATTAACCCATTACCACGTTTTGTAACATGTGTCATGTGTTTTTACAGACACCATGTGAAAGTTTTTTTTATCATGATATTTCACAAAATCGTTTTAACTGAATTCACACATAACTGATAGCATACTGGAATTGGATTCGTCGGCAATTTTTCATGTTTGCATATATCTATAGGTTTTATGGAGGGAGAGTAATGGCGGTGGTTTGAGGAAGGGACGAGTGTAAAAAATGTGTTGTTTTAGTTTTCTTTCATAATCTTTCAAGTCAAATATGGGGAAATATTAACAGAGAGAGATATCAGGGTGTTTTTCCTCAAATATCAGACACAAATTCGTTCATCTATCATAAAATGGAAGCTGTTATTCACTGTCGATCGTAAATAAGCTAATGTAAATTATCAAGAGAGCCATATAATATGTCATAACTATTTTCACACTGTTAAGTTTTTCTAGTCATCGATTAGTCTGTCAAACTAAGAATTTTAAGCAAGCTAATAATAAACACCACTGAATAGTTTTTATAACTTACCGTTTTTATTAATTATATTATGTCACACCTACAGGTAAATTACGCATTCCTATTATTTATTTTAAAATTAAAATACACGTTCACTTTTTCTATTGTGGGAATTTTTTGACGCCAATATGGCGTACCATGTATAAAAATACAGATATCTGATATAAGTGCAAGTTAGAGCAAATAACGAATTCAAGTAAATATTGATTTAAACTTCTCTATATTTATTTCGTTTTTTGCTCTGTTGACACCAAATAAATAGAACTGCGTTGTGATAGATATCGAGCAATTTCAAAGGGCAACTGATAAAGAAAATGTACTACCATGTGGGTTAAAGTGTCAAGCAGGCAAGGATCCCCGTACCACTGCCAAAAACTGTGACTACGAATTGAAAAAATAGTATTTTCTGGAAGTAACGATACCTTTGATATCTCATTTTTGGAAAGATAATCATACCTTGAGAAAGTTTTATGGATGATAATAAGATAAAGTAAACAAAATATAATCAACCACAGTATTTTGAGTGAAACAATTCAAGCTGGGCTTTACCGGGATTTTAACCCTGAACTTCAGGTTGTTATACTATCGCTCTTACTGACTGAGCTATCCGGTTAATACATAGTCTTACCTGCTAACTTCTAGTTTAGGAACTTCCTTCATCAGTTCCTTATCAAGAAGTGAATGGAAACAAATCCTTTGAGTTCGAAATGTTTGATACCATATTGAATGACATTCTAAGACGCGAAACCATTTCATTGTGATATATGTCGTAACTAAATAGAGGAAGATCGTAGAAGCATAGTTACTGCCAAAATACATTCAACTTGTGACATCGACTCATGAAAAACCTACTTGCTGTGAAGCTTTCGTAAACTGCTGAATTAAAAGCATACCTTCGGTATAACACACTTGTTTTTTGCTCTTTTAAAATATGTTCTTGTTAACTGTCAAACTGTTGTATTCATTTTTTCATTTGCAATGTACCCAATTTTCGGGCAAGAGGTTTGCGGAAATGATTCAACATTGTGTAGATTTAAAGGATAGGACGTTTTACCCCTAGCTTTTAGAATTTTGTCGCCAAACCTCGTCTAACTTCGGTTTTGACCCATATTATACACCCACAGCTAAAATTCTTCATATCTGTATTTCATTTCAAATCAATTTTATTGTATTTAAAACACAATTGGATTAGGCACAGGCATTGCCTATTGAAGCTCTTTCCAGAAGAAAATTCACACATTTCATACATTCATATATACATATATATATATAGAGAGAGAGAATTATGGAGAAGATGTGGTATATGTTTAAATTAATAGGAGAATACTAGAACCATTTAATACATGTTCACAGAAAAAAATAACTAGAATATCATAGATTTCAACATTTCAATTACTATAGTTTATTTACTTCAATTAGTATTATAGCCTAGTGTTTGGTTAGAGGCACTTAAAAGACACTGTCACTATACACAGTGCCATCCTTCCCAATTACACCAGAGTGATTGTTATAAAATAGGAAATACAAACACATTGTAAGATATTTTTTTGTATAAATTAAGTTAAAATCTTCCAGATTTTTCAATATTGTCAACCCGAGAAAACCATTGTCACCCGAGGCGAATGGCTGTTGCCGTCAAACGTTCTTGTGACCATCACGGTGGGGAAACGAAGCGGTGAACGCACATTTTTCGCGCATGTGATATTTTTCACTGTCTCATTGCAATATCACCCGCGCCCCTTAAAACCAATGTATTTTCGGAGGGGGACAGAGATTTTTGTTTAAGTTTCTCCCAACCAATCAAATAGCTAGAAATTCACTTGAGGTGTAACAAAATGTTATATTCGACTTCCTGGAGCCACCGTATTAAAAAAATATTTGTACAGTTAGATGGTTGCAAAACGTGTGTGCTTACTTTAAGTAATTCCAGTTTTAACTGGCTTAATGAAGTGAGTTTTGGAAAAATACAGTCTTGCCTATTCCATAGAGACATCATTCTAGGAAAAAAGCTATTTGTATACAGGGTGGTTCTGCACAAGGGAACAATAAAAGTCTAAGGCGAGGATTAATATCATTATCAAAATATGGTAAAATACAATCATAAAGATGGTCAGGACAGTCATGATGCAGTATCTTGAAAAATAACAGACATTGATAATTATCACGTCTTATTTTTTGTTTATCTAGACCAACTTCCGTATATATTAAGTTATGACTTGTACCACCACTCAAACCTGATACAATTCTGAGACATTCTAATTGGACTGATTCCAATAAGTCACTTTCACCCTGGGTGCAATTATTCCACACAGCACAAGCATATTCTAGTGTTGGTCTTATAAGAGATTTATAAATATTTCAAGATATTTTCTATCTAGATTGTGTTTGAGCATTCGTATTATTTGTAGTTTTGTACAGTTTTTCATATATATCATTAACTTGATCTGACCATGATCCACGACTATTAAAAAACAAACCAAGATGTTTATGAATTTTGACATTTATAACAACACTATTTGAGAATACCAAATCTGGATGAGATGTCTCAAAATTATGTTTATTAGACATTAGTAATGATTCAGTTTCACTTGGAATAAATGTTATTCCCCATTTATAAGTCCAGAGAGAAATTCTCCTTAAATCCTCATTAAGAATATCTGCAGCATGTCTGCAATCACCATCTATTAAAACGTAAAGAGAAGTGTCATCAGCAAAGAGTTTGACATGGGAGTGGAGTTCATCTTCTAGGTCATTAATAAATATTTAAAATGAATAAGGCCTGAGAACCGAGCCTTGGGGTACACCAGCTTTTAATGTTTGTAAATTTGACTTGTAACCATCTCATACCTATATGATTGCCTTTATTAATGAAAGACTCTATTAGTCATCCCTTGGCGTTCATCCAAAATATGAGATGACACAACTTTTTCCTAAACCCTCATTGGTTAGATCATTATCACGTGGAGGTCGGTGAGTTGTAATATTGACTCGGAGTTACTATTTTAAGAAACAGCTGGTCAATATTGTCTTTATGACGTCGCTTCAATTGTAACATCACAATGTCTCTGTCAAAAGCAGTACTTTTCCCTTATACTTTTGATACGTTTTATTTAGTTAATGATAAAAGAACCCCAATTTTTTTTATCTTATATCACAATTAAGGACTATTATTCGGTGAATATGTGGTTAATTAGTTATAAAAAAGTAAGATTGGCCGCGACTTCGTTTCGGTTAATATAACTTTATCATGTTAATATAACCACATATTCACCTAATCATAAGTCCATAATTTATTAATAGTATATATAAGTAATCCAGTATTCGTATTTATCTTATAACGTTGTAAAGTATATAAAACTAAAATTATTCTTGGTAAAATGTCATTTTGATTTCCAAAGATTGATGATTTCGCTTGACTGATTAGATAACAATATAAATATAATCACCGTCATCCAATTCTGAATACCTCGGCGTTGGCATTCAGCTTTGTAAAGTATAGATGCTTATCAAGTTTCAACGAAATGATTATATTGGATTTTATTAATGTGCCGAAACCGTCGACCAATCAGTTTGAGTTTATTCTGATTTCGGTGGGAACATTTCCCTTTCTGTTCAAGACTGTCACTTTTCATGAAGCTTAACCAAGCCCACGCCATTCGTGACACGTTTACTCCATTATACCTGACCCCCAACTCTATAGGATTGTAATTTAGTAAACATATTTTAACTGTTAACTAATTCCAGTTTTCCGTTACGTCGATTGTATAGCGATAACCAGCTGATGAAACCATAATGCATTTGATCTAACATTACAAAAATCGTCAAAAGAATCGATTACAAAAATGGACTTTACCAACAAGACTTTAGACACGTTGTATGGTCACCATCAAGATCTCCTTTCTTTTTGTGATATGAAAATTGATGTTTTTAACTCACAAGTGTGCCTTGTTGTTTCGTTGTCACTTCCAAATGAGGACGTGACCATATTAACATTGCGGGTTTCGTATTTGAGGCAAGGCAGACGATGCGTATCCTTCCGGAACACCTGGTCTTAGACTCCTTTCACGTTTTCAAGGGCCTTTTGTAAATTTTTACTGTGTTCATGTTTGTCCTTTTATACCGATTCCGAGTTCGAATATCTACACACTTAAAAAGCTATTTCATTGGTTGTTCTCGATCCGCTTTTTATAGAAGTTTATTTTTGGTTTTCAGTACTAACGATGTCGCGTCTTCTGCACCTGTTGTTCAGTTCAGTCCTCATCTTACCGTGCGTCACATCCGATATGTTTGACAACTGTACGACGTCACTGAAAAACGTTCAGGATGGCGAAGAATCTGTGTAAGTGATCGAAAATATTCTTTTGATAATCTCTATGTAAGATTTTGGACGAAAACAATTATGATCTTTAGTGTATTTCTTTGTTAAATGATCACTGGGCTGAGTGTGGAATTTTCCAAGATATACATTGTCTGTACGGCAAAGAGTCTGAATAGTCTCTTGGATAGGACTAAATGCACGTAAAACACGCATTTGTGATGATCGCAATAAACTAGGGAATAGTCTCTTCAGAGGACGTTTAATTCAAAAGCAAGGGGAAAACATATTCAAAATACAATTACATCTATCAATGTAAAACCAGCAGCAACCGCTTTTCATATCATTATTTATAGAACAAATATGTCGACACTTACCTTCACACAGGCTGCAGCCTTCACTAGAAAAGTATGAAGCAGCCCTATTGATGCTGCTTGGGTTTGGAGGTCTATCCGTGATGCTTGCCCTCATACAATCCGCCCTTAGACGGCACGTGTACCACGACCAACACAACCTTGACACCGCATTTGATGCAGGGGGGAAGGTAACTTTCAGTCTCACCGCTGTTACCGTGACGTCACAGATGCTCTGGCCAGCAGATTTCCTGCAAAGTGCAACAATCGCCATTAAGGTACATGTATATTGATTTGAAACATGACCTAAATAAATATATTAATAAATAGATGACTTAACAGAGAAATAATAAATGACTAAACAAACAAAGGGTGCATAAAACTCGAAAAATCAACAGAGACGAGGGGGACACCAGCTGAGTCATGTAGGGACGAAAGGGTGTAAATTTAGCCCCCTCAGGATAGTATCGGGTCATACAGATGACTCAGCTTGTGTCCCCCTCGTCTCCGTTCATTTTTTGAGCTAAGTCATTTGAACGAACCGATACTGACTCGACATGAGATGGGGCTAGATCTACACCCTTCCAGTAACATATTCGACACAGTGTGTATACACTCTCTATCGATACGAAAAACGGCCCGGGTCGAGGAACATATTGAATATACAATTTCGTCATATCGTTGTACAGGTAAACAGTACAAATCGCTCACTCAGTCTTGGCTTGACAAAAGTACTAATGTTTACCGGGAAATATTCGTCTTTAACAGGTAAAAACCATATTCGCTCAGTGTAAATATCGCCCTTCACATGTTGTTACTATATAGGGTATGATGTGTACAGATATACTCGTTGTTATGATTAATTTGCGCTCAAGAGGGCGAAGAGTGAAAGTAAATATGCGGCGAAAATGTCCCGTTATACAGTACATACAAACTATTTCTCTTGTCCTGCACTGACATCGTCAAAATCAAAATTCATTCTCCTAAAGGTAATTGTTGGATTCATATTTGAAGACCAGCCTTGTCATGTGACCCTGTTTATGTAACGGTCAGAGGAATGGTTTGTTTGTTTGTTTGTTTGATTTTGTTTAACGTCCTATTAACAGCTAAGGTCATTTAAGGACGGCCTCCCCTGTGTGCAAGATGCATGCGTGTAGTGTTAGTGTGTGTATTTTGGGAGGCTGCGATATGTTCGTGTTTGTCTCCTTGTGATAGCGCGGAACTGATGCCGACTTTAGAGTGCTACCTCACTGAAACATACTGCCGAAGACACTCAGCAGGACGCAGGAATGGACCAGGGCAAGTCCAACAAAATTGTCACACGTTAGATGCTATTGCATAAACTTTTAGCCACACCTTAAATGAGTACCATAAAATATATCTGGTTGAAAATGTCATCAACCGATTCATTCTTTAGTTTCTGACAGCATTGCATTAACTTGTATGCCATGAAATACAAAATGAGAGACACATGGGTTATTTCCCATAGACCAGTTTCAATATTGGACTGCTTGCTGGCTTTCTCATTATTTTAATGTACACTGCACTCTCATATCATATAGTATCATATTAAATGTACACTGTTTAAATTCAACCAGAGATTTATTTTTGTGGTTTGAGGTTTCATTATTATATGTGTAAAACATGAGCATACTACTTCACGTGCGCGACGTTTTGTTACAGACAGGATTGGGCGGGTCGCTGTTCTTCTCCATCGGTATTGTCCTCGACATCCTCCTCTTCCCTTTGCTATCTATACACCTCAAGACCCGGGCCCCCGGGGCCAAAACCTTCCTTCAGGTAGGAATTGTTAGACATGGCCTTTGTTATATATGCACATGTTATTAACTCTTTTGTAATATGGAGTGGTATACAATACATGTATTGACTACACGTGTAGAAAGTATATTCATTTTCTATCCCCTTTGCGAAGCGCTGAGCATCGAGTGGGCAGGTTTGGAAGGTGGGCTATTCCTAGCGATATCAGAGTTTGAGGGTAGCACGCACCCTCCCTCCACCCCCCTCCAAAAAAATCAACAACATTAATACTAAAATAGCGTGAAAACCTGTAAGTTAAATGATCTTATTCACAAAACGTGTGGGTAAGCATTTGTAGTACTTTTGAAATGTTCATTTGTAAATGTATCGGTTTATGAAATGATGAAAATAATCTTTTTTATCACATAATCTAAAAGAAATGGATAAGAAGATAAGTAAATACTAAAGAAAATATGTTCGTTCACTTAAAGCCAAACCTTCGGGGTACGTGTAATCGTCGTTATCTGTTAGTGGATATATTATTTGACTTTCAATGTCCGACTCATTGTGTCCATAAGCAGCTGATTCCAGTTTTGTTCACTTGATTGAATGTGGTAGGGAAGAATGATGTGTCGTATGTGTCAGGTTGTGTCAGGTTAACCAACACCATCTCGCCCATCTCAAAGTCTTTTACCGGTCCCATTTTTGCTACGATATTCAATTTTGCGCTGGCTTTCTTGTGGCGTTTTCATTCATCTATTTGTTCGATCTGGTCACAGGGTCACGTTACAATCACACATATGCTATACTGATATGGGTCACAACACACATACACATACATGTATGTTTATGTGTGTTGTGACCCATATCAGTATAGTATATGTGTGATTGTAACGTGACCCTGTGATCTGGTCGTCTGTATATGAGCAAAAGTCCAAACAAACCAGTCAACATATTTTATACTAATATACTTTGTCGATCTTAGTGATCTCTATCCTATAACGCTGGTTTAAATAGTTGTAATTTCTCTTTGAATTTCCAGATCATATATGCTAGATTTGGAAAGCCTGCCCACATTTTCTTCTGTTTTGTGGCACTGTTGGCGAATCTCGTCACCATGACATCACTGGTGTTGGCGGGAAAAGCGTCTCTGCGCGTGCTGGTGAAGGACTCCTCGGACGAGTTCGTCATTTTGATCCTCGCTGTCCTCTTTGGTTCTTACTGTCTAATTGGTGGTATCGGAACCACCTTCTATATATCTTACTTTAACACGGCCTTGACCTTTGTCACCGTGCTGGTATTTGTTGTGAAGGTCAGTTATACAGACAAAGGTCCGACACAGGACTACGCCACGAATGAAGCCATGTATGAGGCAATGAGGTGTATTGATGGACCAGATGGTAACCAGGACAACTCACTAATGACTTTCAGGTCAAGGTCAGGCATTATTTATGGTTTTATGCTATTTCTGATGGCTACATCGTTAGGCTTTTGTGATCAGGCTAACTGGCAGAGTAGGATAGCGGCAAAGCCAGCGCAAGGCGTTCTCGGATTTTTCATAGCAGCCTACATTTGGTTCGCGATTCCAACAACTATTGCGATGACGTCAGCAATGACTTATATGTCATTGAGCTATCAGAACGGCACACATTTTCTTACTGCAAACGACATAGATTCCGGTAGGTACAAAGGGATCTCAAACTCATCTCTGTAAACAAATGATGAAACGAGATTCAGCGATGGGAGGGGGTGATTTTATTATTCCTTTCATTATAGGCTGTATGAAAGTATGTACAGTTAACACTGCTCTTTATAAATATTATGACACCTTTTCATTTAGCCCTCGGTTTCCTTTCAAACCAGGATTAAACCAGTTAGTTGTTCTCCAATGAAATACATTTGCTTGTGATCATTAAGCTTTACGAACACTTAGAATTTATTCAAATCTAACAATCAGTGGCGTAGCATGCAATAACAATTCATTTATTTAATCTCATATTATTTATTAATTTCTTTTTTATGATTAATACGGACCGTCCGTATCAATCATAAAAAAGTAAAGAATAAAAACAAATCTTCTTGAAAATTATGTCTGTATACATGGAAAAATCTCGAAATCAAAAACGAATTAGTGAAGTACGGAATATAATAATATTCATATTTAAAGTCGGGTTTTACTCGTTACTTATCAAACTAAAATGATTTTCTTGAGGGTTTTTCCGAGCTATGGGAAGGGGATCCCCCTCCAAATCCCCCCCCCCCCTCCCCCATCCTCTTGCACTACGGCACTCGGACGCTCGACCCCTTGTAAGCATACACTTCGAAAAATGATTTGCTACGCCACTGACAATAATAAGATATTCGAATTAATATAAACATTTATTTCGATATAATACTTAAACTTATCTGTGTGATATTGTCATATCATCAAGCCAATCGTTATTTGTAAAACGAAACCGATTACTTGACATTGTCATGAAAACGTTGTTCGTCATGTTGATCTAACTCTTATTAATAGATTTTGAAATTCTACAAAGGAAAATTAGGTCAAAGTTGGTTCCGTTCTAAAACTATTTGTCTATCAAAGCATCATGTTTCCAGGATACATAACCCCATTCGTGATGGAAACACTGATGGGATCACAAGGAGGATATTTACTCATCACCATGGTAACCATGGCACTCATGTCAACAGGGTCTGGGGAGGTCATGGCCGTCTCTTCTATCATCATATATGACATCTACCGTACTTACATCAACGCTTACAGGTAGAGTACTTTATATATACTTCAGTAATGTATCCTATCAAAGTAAATTAATTGATATATACTGGTAGTGTAATATATATGACATCTACCGTACCTACATCAACCCTTACAGGTAGAGTACTTAATATATACTTCAGTAATGTATCCTATCAAAGTAAATTAATTGATATATACTGGTAGTGTAATATATATGACATCTACCGTACCTACATCAACGCTTACAGGTAGAGTACTTAATACATAGTATCCCACAGCGGTAGAGTATTTACTATATATCAACCACCACAGGTACAGTACTTAATACATAGTATCCCACAGCGATAGAGTATTTACTATATATCAACCACCACAGGTAGAGTACTTAATACATAGTATCCCACAGCGGTAGAGTATTTACTATATATCAACCACCACAGGTAGAGTACTTAATACATAGAATCCCACAGTGGTAGAGTATTTACTATATATGAACCACCACAGGTAGAGTACTTAATACATAGAATCCCACAGTGGTAGAGTATTTACTATATATCACCCATAGGTACAGTACTTAGTGGTAGAGTATTTACTATATATCCACCACCACAGGTACAGTACTTAATACATAGTGTCCCACAGTGGTAGAGTATTTACTATATATCCACCACCACAGGTACAGTACTTAATTCAAAGTATCCCACAGTGGTAGAGTATTTACTATATATCCACCACCACAGGTACAGTACTTAATACATAGTATCCCACAGTGTTAGAGTATTTACTATATATCACACACCACAGGTACAGTACTTAATACATAGTGTCCCACAGTGGTAGAGTATTTACTATATATCCACCACAGGTACAGTACTTTATACATAGTATCCCACAGTGGTAGAGTATTTACTATATATCCACCACAGGTAGAGTACTTAATAATACTATCCCACAGTGGTAGAGTATTTACTATATATGAACCACCACAGGAAGAGTACTTAATACATAGTATCCCACAGTGGAAGAGTATTTACTATATATCCACCACATGTAGAGTACTTAATACATATTATCCGACAGTGGTAGAGTATTTACTATATATCCACCACAGGCACAGTACTTAATACATAGTATCCCACAGTGGTAGTGTATTTACTATATATGAACCACCACAGGTACAGTATTTAATACTTACTATTCCACACAGGTAGAGTATTTACTATATATGAACCACCACAGGTAGAGTACTTAATACATAGAATCCCACAGTGGTAGAGTATTTACTATATATCACCCACAGGTACAGTACTTAATACATAGTATCCCACAGTGGTAGAGTATTTACTATATATCACCCATAGGTACAGTACTTAATACATAGTATCCCACAGGGGTAGAGTATTTACTATATATGAACCACCACAGGTAGAGTACTCAATACATAGAATCCCACAGTGGTAGAGTATTTACTATATATGAACCACCACAGGTACAATACTTAATACATAGAATCCCACAGTGGTAGAGTATTTACTATATATCACCCATAGGTACAGTACTTAATACATAGTATCCCACAGTGGTAGAGTATTTGCTATATATCACCCACAGGTACAGTACTTAATACATCGTATCCCACAATGGTAGAGTATTTACTATATATCACCCACAGGTACAGTACTTAATACATAGTATCCCACAGTGGTAGAGTATTTACTATATATCAACCACCACAGGTAGAGTCCTTAATACATAGTATCCCACAGTGGTAGAGTATTTACTATATATCAACCACCACAGGAAGAGTCCTTAATACATAGTATCCCACAGTGGTAGGGTATTTACTATATATGAACCACCACAGGTACAGTACTTAATACATAGTATCCCACAATGGTAGAGTATTTACTATATATCACCCATAGGTACAGTACTTAATACATAGTATCCCACAGTGGTAGAGTATTTGCTATTTATCCACCACAGGTAGAGTACTTAATATATAGTATCCCACAGTGGTAGAGTATTTACTATATATCAACCACCACAGGTAGAGTACTTAATACATAGTATCCCACAATGGTAGAGGATTTACTATATATCACCCACAGGTAGAGTTCTTAATACATAGTATCCCACAGCGGTAGAGTATTTACTATATATCACCCACAGGTACAGTACTTAATACATCGTATCCCACAGTGGTAGAGTATTTACTATATATCACCCACAGGTAGAGTTCTTAATACATAGTATCCCACAGTGGTAGAGTATTTACAATATATCACTCACCACAGGTACAGTACTTAATACATACTATCCCATAGTGGTACAATATTTAATACATAGTATTTTATTAAATCAATAAGATGTATTGGGAATTGGGCAACAGGTAAAGCCTATACAAGCCCTTTCCAAGGAGGTACATCTCAAACAATAGCAATATAATGAACTTTGAATATTTACATAATGTACATGCTTTAGGAACATACGAATAAGAATTAGATCAGTGCCAATGATGATAGGAGACACCCGCCATCCATCCATCCATCCATCTGCATTTAATTTATTTGATACAAGGAGAGCTTCTGTTTTACTAGGATTAAATAATATACCCCATCTATGAGCCCAGATAGATATTCACATTTGACTCAATTTCTTTTTCTTTGTCATTTATATATAAAAGAAATAAATATGGCCCGATGATTGAGCCCTGTTGGACACCGGTTGTAAGTGTACGCCAAGAAGACTTGTACCCATCAATTATTACTCTTTGCTGTCTATCAGTTAAATAATTAGAAAGCCAATTAAGAAAACTGTCTTCAATACCATATTTTTTTCAATTTGTACACAAGTCCATCATGCCAGACCCTATCAAAGGCCTTACTAATATCACAAAACACAAGTCTGGCCTCTTTTCTTCTATCAAGTTGCTTAAGAATTGAATCATATATTGCTAATAGCTGGTTAACTGTAGAATCTTTGGGGGAGGAATCCAGATTGGTTCTTAGAAATTATATGATTTATTGATAGATAGTTAAACAAATATTTGAACATAATTCTTTCAAGCATTTTACTAAACAGAGTGATAGAAATAGGTCTGTAGTTTGATGGGTCACTTCTCTCACCTTTGCCCTTATATACAGCTGTGACATTGGCATTTTCCCAGACTTTAGGTAATTGACCGGATTCCACTGATTTATTAAAAAGGATATGTAGTGGCTTTACAAGAGATTCCGATAACCTTTGCTAAACTTAGGGTGAATTGCATCAGGATCTGCAGGCTCTTTTGGATTAATGAATTGAAGTAGATCATAAACATCTTGCTCAGTAAAATTGATATTAGATAGTTGATGAGGGAAAGGAGGAGGATTTGGAGGGATGTCTTCAATAGTTTTATCTGATGTAGAAATAGATGTGAAAAAATATTATTCCGCCTTATCTACAGGACGTACTTTCAATTCACCATTAATTTCCAAAAGATAATCAGTATCATTTTTTCTTTTTAGAGGTAAGAACAGATTTGGCAATTCTCCAACATTTACCTGGAGGGATATTTTTGTCAATAAGAGAATTTTGTAATTTGCTAAGATATTTTTGTTTCGCATCTCTAATCATTGAAATAACTGAATTACGTAATTGTCTGTATTTATCCCACGAGGTGGCAGTATTTATTTGCTAAGCCTTATAATGTTGCCAATTTCTCTGTCTCATTTTCAGCCGGACTTTATTTTTTATCCATATTTTATCATTAGGTATAATTGTCACTGTCCTGTGTGGTACAAATCTGTCAATACAAGTCATTAGCTTATTGGATACAATTTCATTTAAGATTTCAAAATCATCAATATTATTCAGCTCTTCATCCCAATCAATTGTTGATGAATAAGTATTAGCACTGGCAAAATCTGCATTATTAAAACATATCAAAGTTTTTTTATAAGCAATTTTCCATAGTGTCTTAAATAGTGGTACTAATAGCACAATGATCACTACATAATGGTGGCCCACAGTTACATTACATACACTATTACTGTCATTGGTCAATATAACATCAAGGGAAGTTGATGATGTTGAGGTTATTCTTGTAGGTTCATTTACAATATTATGTAATCCATACTTTATCATCAATCTTTCCAGGTAAGAGTTTGGGGTCAAATTCAGCATATTCTGGTTAATGTCACCAAGTAGGAAGACACTCATAATTAGAGTTTTTTTAAGAATTTCATCTAACTTATCCCAGTAGTTAACTAAGGAATTTGGAGCTCTATATACGCATCGTACAACTTTTGATTATTTCGCAACTTAATTTCTGTCCAGACGACCTCAACATCATCAGATTCCAGGTCTAATCTACGTTTAGCAATTACTATATATCACTCCACAAAGGTGAGTATTTAATACTTACTATTCCACACAGAATATATTCTATATCATTTCACAGTAATTAATACTTACTATTCCACACAGGTAGAGTATTTACTATATATCATTTCACAGTATTTAATACTTACTATTCCACACAGGTAGAGTATTTACTATATATCGCTCCACAAAGGTGAGTATTTAATACTTACTATTCCACACAGAATATATTCTATATCATTTCACAGTAAATAATACTTACTATTCCACACAGGTAGAGTATTTGCTATATATCATTTCACAGTATTTAATACTTACTATTCCACACAGGTAGAGAATTTACTATATATCACTCCACAAAGGTGAGTATTTAATACTTACTATCACACACAGGTAGAGTATTTACTATGTATCACTCCACAAAGGTGAGTATTTAATACTTACTATCCGACACAGGTAGAGTATTTACTATATGTCATTTCACAAAGGTGAGTATCTAATACTTACTATCCCACACAAGTAGAGTATTTATTATACATCACTCCAAAAAAGTGAGTATTTAATACTTACTATCCCACACAGGTAGAGTATTTATTATATATCACTCCACAAATGTGAGTATTTAATACTTACTATCCCACACAGGTAGAGTATTTATTATATATCCCTCCACAAAGTTGAGTATTTAATACTCACTATCCAACCAGGTAGAATATTTACTATATATCATATCACAAAGGTGAGTATCTAATACTTACTATCCAACCAGGTAGAATAGTTACTATATATCATTTCACAAAGGTGAGTATCTAATACTTACTATCCCACACAGGTAGAGTTTTTACTTTATATCACTCCACAAAGGTGAGTTTTTCATACTTATATCCGACACAGGTAGAGTATTTACTATATATCATTTCACAAAGGTGAGTATCTAATACTTACTATCCAACCAGGTAGAATATTTACTATATATCATTTCACAAAGGGGAGCATTTAATACTCACTATCCCACACAGGTAGAGACTTTATTATATTTCATTTCACAAAGGTGAGTTTCTAATACTTACTATCCCACACATGTAGAGTTTTTACTTTATATCGCTCCACAAAGGTGAGTTTTGCATACTTATATCCGACACAGGTAGAGTATTTACTATATACCATTTAAGTATTTAATACTTACTATCACACACAGGTAGAGTATTTACGATATATCATTTCACAAAGGTGAGCATTTAATACTCACTATCCCACACAGGTAGCGTACTGAATATATATCACTCCACAAAGATGAGAAGTTAATACTTACTATCCCATACAGGTAGAGTATTTATTATATATCACTACACAGTATTTAATACTTACTATTCCACACAGGTAGAGTATTTATTATATATCACTACACAGTATTTAATACTTACTATTCCACACAGGTGGAGTATTTACTATATATCACTCCACAAAGATGAGAAGTTAATACTTACTATACCACACAGGTAGAGTATTTACGATATATCATTTCACAAAGGTGAGCATTTAATACTCACTATCCCACACAGGTAGAGATTTTATTATATTTCATTTCACAAAGGTGAGTATCTAATACTTACTATCCCACACAGGTAGAGTATTTACTATATACCATTTAAGTATTTAATACTTACTATCCCACACAGGTAGAGTACTTAATATATATCACTCCACAAAGATGAGTAGTTAATACTTACTATCCCACACAGGAAGAGTATTTATTATATATCACTCCACAGTATTTAATACTTACTATTCCACACAGGTAGGGTATTTATCATATATCATTTCACAAAGGTGAGTATCTAATACTTACTTTCCCACACAGGTAGAGTATTTACTATAAATCACTCCACAAAGGTGAGTATTTAATGCTTACTTTCCCGCACAGGTAGAGTATTTACGATATATCATTTCACAAAGGTGAGTATCTAATACTTCCTTTCCCACACAGGTAGAGTATTTACTATAAATCACTCCTCAAAGGTGAGTATTTAATACTTACTATACCACACAGGTAGAGTATTTACTATATACCATTTAAGAATTTAATACTTACTATTCCACACAGGTAGAGTATTTACTATATATCACTCCACAAAGGTGAGTATTTAATGCTTACTTTCCCACACAGGTAGAGTATTTACGATATATCATTTTACAAAGGTGAGTATTTAATACTCACTATCCCACACAGGTAGAGTTTTTATTATATTTCATTTCACAAAGGTGAGTATCTAATACTTACTATCCCATACAGGTAGAGTATTTACTATATACCATTTAAGTATTTAATACTCACTATCCCACACAGGTAGAGTTTTTATTATATTTCATTTCACAAAGGTGAGTATCTAATACTTACTATCCCATACAGGTAGAGTATTTACTATATACCATTTAAGTATTTAATACTTACTATTCCACACAGGTAGAGTATTTACTATAAATCACTCCACAAAGGTGAGAATTGAATACTTACTATCCCACACAGGTAGAGTATTTACTATATATCACTCAACAAAGGTGAGTATTTAATACTTACTATCCCACACAGGTAGAGTACTTATTATATATCACTCCACAAAGGTGAGTAGTTAATACTTACTATTCCATACAGCTAGAGTACTTAATATACTTTCATATAAAAGTAAAGTACTTAATATATACTGGTAGTGTTATATATATGTATATATTATGAAAAGATATTTTTACACAACCAATAAAGGATGACTAGTACGGTATGTACACTGTCACCTTCATCACCAGTGAAGCGTATGCACAAAAAGGTGTAAAATATGTATGAATTGATGTCGATTCGGCTGCGCTGTTAACGTATGTACACTAGATGTACGCTGCACTGGTCATTTGTCTGATGACGGTGGCAGTGTACATACCGTACTAGTCATCGAAACGTCACATAGAAACTCATACTGGTTGTGTTAAAAGAACTTTTCATAATCCATACTTACCAACCTGAAGAAAATGTTTAATAATATATATATAATCTACCGAGCCTACATGAACACGCACATGTAGAGTTATTAATCTACTCCATCCCATGCAGCTAGACTACGAGTAAATAGTCTACCATCTCACCACGCAACTTATTTAAATCATCCTCGTCTCGATTGTTTTGCATCTTACGACAATGAATGCCATTATGACTTTCCTCTTTTTTTCCTGACAGGAAATCTTGCTCGCCTACAAGTTGTTTATTGTGTGGTAACGAGAAGGTCTTTGATACGGTAACACCGGAAACGGAAATGTGTGCGTGCAAACCGGTGGAGAACTGTCGTGACTGTAAAGACGATATAAAACTACGCATGACCGGAAGTAGAAACTACGGCGTCCGATATGGGTGTACGAAGCACGGACTATATCGTCACTACGAGGACTTGTTGATTCACAATAAGAGCTGGTGTATTGTCTGGGTCACCATTGCTGTGGTCCCTTATGGTCTTGTGATCATGGCTTCCGGTGTGAACTTGAACTGGGCCATATTCACATTACAGGCACTCATCAGTCCGTTCTTGATACCCATCCTGCTCACAATTGCCTGGCCGAAGAGTACAGCTGCTGGTGTAATTGCAGGTGGGTTGTAAATTGTGCTTCAAACTTTATTTGGTCTCAGAATATTTAGTGTTTATGTAATATATTGGTTATCCTTTTTGATATGAATATAATGTTTTAAGAACTCACTAATTTAGCAACGGTTACAATATATGAAAATGAAGAGAAATTCTATACTGACTTATAAATATAGTTTAACATACTACTTCTTAGTACTTGTGTACTTTGTATGTTACAAGGGAGTACCAGTGGGCTCGCAGCGGCTATCACAGGAATCCTAGTGGTGGGAGAAACAGCCCATGAGGGTGGTTTGAGGAATTTTATGGTGAATACCTCCACCGAATACAGCCTCCTTGGCGGTATTGGTTCAGGTGTCATCATCAGCTCGGTGGTTACCATAGTAACGTCTTTATGTACCAACAAAATCAAGTGTGCAGAGGACGCGAAGAAGGAATGGGAGAAGACTCTCTCGATTGACAATCCTCTGAACCCTTGGAGAAACCTTTATAAAGAAGAACTTTCAAAGATTGCTCACGATACAAAAATAACAGGAAGCAACATGGCGACCATATTTCGGCCTGCAAAGTTGATAGCTTACGTAGGGGGTGGAATTAGTGTGTTGTTTTTCCTAGTAGTATTTCCGGCGGTAATGTTGAGCTATGATGTGCTGACGTTCAGTCAGTTTTCAGGCTGGCTCACTGCCTGCCAGGTGTGGTGTATGGTCGGGGCAGCGTTTGCGATCATAGCGCCACCTGCTGAAGAGATTATCCAAGTTTGGCGTCAACACAGAAAAAACAATACAGAAAAAGGCAAAGCTGCCCACGAAAACAATACGTATGACGAACATTTGTGACTTCCTGGCGTCATTTCATTACAGTGTGGTTGATTCACATGTTTTTTGCTTATCCATATGTACATTACTTACCTATTTTATCTAACTATATACCCAAAATGGTATGTAATACCAATATATAATGTATATCTTTTCCCCCCATCTACAAATTACTTACATTTTTAAATTGGACCTTCTTTATTTCCAACATGTAATTTTCCTACATTTTTTTTTAAATGTCCCTCCTAATTACCATAATTTCTAAATTTACAATTTATATTTATATATATACATTTACATTTCACACATATATAACCCCCATATTTGACTTTACATCTTATCTTTATTACTTAACTATTTAGATAATAAGTCTTTTATGATGTAGGAAGAAAATCTAAAATAAAATATATATTTTATACTTAATTTTTAAATATGCGCGGAATTCAGAATGATCTCGTCGAAGAGGTTTACAAGCACGTTGTTGTCTTGTAGAAACACTTGTCACGCCCTTAACGACGTACCTACTTCACAGTGAATAGGCTGTCGTCACGTGCAACTAATGGCAGAAGTTAGGAATGTGCCCATGGATATTTATTTGAACCATGGATGTGTCATTCCGCCAAAGTGTCTCACTCACTTCCGGCATCACACTTTAATGTATACGCATGATCTAAACGAATGTTATCAAATTTGATTGATTGAAATTTTGTTACTCATACAATAAATAATAATCATCTGACTTACTTAGACTCAACAATGTGCTTGGTAATAGTTATAAACATAACAGAATGTGCGCGGAATTCAGAATGATTGAAATGAACTCCTTTTTTGCAGAGGTCATTAATTCAGTCATTTGCCAACACATTTTGTAAATCAATTAACTCGGCTTACTTTGTTAAATCAATCGTAACAACAACATGAAATCAAACTTTCAAATTTAATGTGATAAGCTTCCTTAAAGAAATCGATAAAAGTATAAAAGGAAAATCCGATAATAGTCGTTATCAACGCGGATATCCCTACTTGTAGAAACAATAGCTTACACATGAACATGTGTATCTGAGTAACATATGATCAGGGTCAAACGATCAATGTAATTGAAAAAGTATATTTAAAGAAAAAAATGAAAAAACATTCATACAAAAAAAATAACTTACACCAAGATAAAAAAAAAGGTGCAAGGAGTATGATACGTTGTCTAGTCTAAGATGTAACATGTACAGTGTTGTCTGGTATGATTTGTGACGTGCACGGTGTTGTCGCGCATCATTTTAATGTCTATAACATTGCTCAGGTTGTCTTGTCTAATGAGTTATGTGTACGTTGATGTCTGGTATAATTTGTGACGTGTACGGTGTTGTCTCGTATAATTTTAATGTGTATAACATTGGCACGGGTTGTGTGGTCTAACATGGTCGGTGACAAGTGTTATCTGGTATAATTTGTGACGTGAACGGTGTTGTATCGTATAATTTTAATGTGTATAACATTGGCACGGGTTGTGTGGTCTAACATGGTCGGTGTACAGTGTTGTCAGGTATAATTTGTGACGTGTACGGTGTTGTCTCGTATAATTTTAATGTGTATGACGTTGACACGTCTTGTGTGGTCTAACAGGGTTGGTGTACATTGTTGTCTGGTATAATCTGTGACGTGTACGGTGTTGTCTCGTATAATTTTAATGTGTAAGACGTTGACACGTGTTGTGTGGTCTAACATGGTCGGTGTACAGTGTTGTCTGGTATAATTTGTGACGTGTACGGTGTTGGCTCGTATAATTTTCATGTGTATAACATTGGCACAGGTTGTGTGGTCTAACATGGTCGGTGACAAGTGTTATCTGGTATAACTTGTGACGTGTACGGTGTTGTCTCGTATTTATTTTATGTATACGATGTTGTTGTCACGTAAGGTATTATTTTTATCTGTATGACATTGACAAGTGTTGTCCCGTCTTAGGTGTTTACTTGTACGTACTTATTACTTCGTGGTGAATAGACTGTCGTCACACGCAACAATGACGGAAGTTAGGGATGTGCCCATGGATATTGATGTGAACCATGGATGTGTCATTCCGCCAAAGTGTCTCACTCACTTCCGGCATCACACTTTAATGTATACGCATGATCTAAACGAATGTTATCAGATTTTATTGATTGAAATTTTGTTACTCATATAATAAATAATAGTCATCTGACTTACTTATAGTCAACAATGTGCTTGGTAATAGTTATAAATAAAACAGAATAAGTACAACCGAAGCGTTACACACATGTTTCATTTTATAATATCAAATCCTTAGTCATGTCTTAAAAACCGTCACATGGGACATGGGTAGATTTTAGAGATTACTTTTTATAAATTTTATTTGAACACTGTAAAATATTTCGTAACCAGTTTATTTCAAACAAATATGAAAATGCCATCTTTCAAACAAATCAATACAGAAATAAGTTAACCTTTAATAAATGTTAGTGCAATTACCTTTAAACTGGCCATACAGTTATCCGCGGGTAAACCATTTCAGATATATACCATATAATTAAGAACATTCCTGAAATCCTGAATTTTGAGGCAAACTCCAACACCTACTTTCTGTTCCAGTAATCGCAGAACATGACAATGACATAGATCAGTTTTGCTATAGTATCATCGCCGTTGTCAGATACACACAATATTATTATCAAAGATAATTTGGTTGGTTTGATTAACAGGGTTCAGCGTCATATTAACAGCTAATGTCATTCAGGGACGTGCCTATGTGTGTGTAATGTATGAGAGTGTACTGGATGGAGTATGTTGATGTATTAAAAATATAGAATATAAATACCAAAAACGGAAAATCAAGAAAATCACCCGTGGCCATGCTGGCAAATTAAAACTATAAATAACGCGCCCTAAACGACTAAATTATTTTTCACTTGAACCCCTACCACATGGTTCCTACTCGACCCACGGATACGCGATCGTGCAGAAAAAGAAGATCCTATGTGTAAAATACGCAAGTGTTGCTTTAGACTTCGAATACGATTTCTGCACAGCGACCCAATCTTACGTTGTCACTGTTGCCTCCAAATTGAAAAGGGTTCATTTTCACCCCATTTGTAGTACAGGTGTATATGGAAAGAATCAAGACAATTAAGGACACGTGAGTAATTTAATTACTTTATTAAAATGTTCTCACATCATGGATTCGCTATATACATATACATATAAATCTGAGACTATTATTTTGTTAATCAACTTACCCATAATATGATGATAGCATTTTACAGTTGATACTACTAGCCTACCATCACATCTAAATCTCACAAACAAATGATGCTAGCATTAAATAAACGTTATCTTTTATCAATTATGAAACCAGTTTTATCAGCTTTTATTGATCACTCTTGTTAGCCAAGCCGAGAACTCATGGGTGGTCCTTGTGTGGAAGTAAACCGAAGTTCCGGGTAAAAATCACTCGTCAAGTCTTTTCAGGGAATTAGGACGTGGCCGTTTAGAGGGAAGGGTGTTTGCGCTATCTTTTACACCAACCAAATACCCCAAAAGGTACATTGAATAACTTACAATGCACTGTTTTCATCACAAACAACTGGTTCTAGTAACTTACCGTGCACTTTTAATCTACAAAAACAACTGATGCCAATACGTTGCTATGCAATCCTCTGAATCTCACAAACTCACGCCAGAAAATGACCCTGCTTTCTAACTTGCCATGCTCGCTATATCCCAAAATTGATACCAATTCATTACCATGCCCTAAATCTCAGAAACTGACAAATAAAAAAATACCAAGCTTTCCAAATCTCACAAACATATTATAGTACCACACCATCTATTTATGATCTTGAAATCTGCGAATCTAATGATTTATCATTCACTCTATTCCTCACAGACAGCATACACTGGTAAATTACCATGTCATCTAGATATCTCACAGTGAATTCACTGAATCAATAACTATGCATTTGACTTAAATCTTTGAAAAAATCTTAAACTTACAATGTCATGTAGAAATAACAAATAAATGATTCAGGTAACTTAACATTTATCGCAAGCTAATGATATTAGTTACTTGCTTTGCCATTTAGATGTCACGAACAATAAAAAAATAATAAATAAAATGAAACAACAAAATGATCTATATAAGATTCCTGACGAATATATTTCACAGCCTGTTGTCCATTCATTCAGAGTTCTTACTAAAATTTATCGAATTTGCCGAATAAAAAAAATTAACAATCTAGAACTTTATTTTCAACATGACGTTTGTTCTAACATCGTTTGACTGCTAAGACAGAAAAATATAGCTAATTGCAAAAAAACGAGTTTTGTTTGCTTTGTCTTTTTTTAATTGAAGGTTATTGAAAATGAATATAATTTTTACTTTCATGTTCAACACACGAAGAATTAAGTAGTAAAGTCACATAGCAATTCCCCTGGTATATTATAAACAATTTATGTCGATCCGTTTCAGGAGCTTTCAGAATAAAAAATATACAAACATGCTTATTATACTACATTAGTGATAATAACGGTCATTATGAAATATCTATGAACAAATGTATTATGAAACTGAAATTTCAATGTTGAACTAAATCCTAATGAGATTAATGCTGATGGCCAATTAAATGACATTAACTGGATTTGATCGTCAATAAGAAAGAGCTGTTTCGACTTCATTTAAGGTTAGGTTGTCATATTTTTGACATGCAACATACATTGGCTTACCTAGCGCACCAAGTTAAATATGTAGGTAAGCCAATGTATGTCACACACCAATGCATGTCAAAAATATGACAACCAATACTTATATTTACATTTTATGTTAATCAACTTACAGTTCACGCAGAACTAAAGACATAATATTAGTCTGAACATGTTTCAGCGTCAGTGTAAATCCATACAGAGAACAGCCACCAGTTGACAGTGAAGCAGTGCAATCTGCAACGTTACAGTTATGACGTCATAATCATAGCGACGTCACAATAGCCCAATGTATGTTATACGGAAATAACATACATTGGGCCCGGTAGAAACATCTAGGCTCTGTACACTGGAAATATTAATATATACGTATGGTAATGTTCTAAAATAACCCTGGCAAACAATATTCAACATTATCAACTGAGTAGCACAAAAAAACTACCTTACTATAGAACTTGTGTCTTTCACGTCCAGTAAACAATGGAAAACACAAGAAGTGCTATATATGCTGTTATTAAATTGGTTAACAATATATCCGCCTCTCCATTCTGTTGTAGCGACAGATCACATAGAGTTATTCGCCCCTGTCTTCTACAATTACATGATTCATGTCTGGGTACATATATTTTCTGCAGCCAAACACACTGGTCTATCTACGCCATGTGCACAAATGTCTAGATACCATTGTACAGGGTAGTGTCATTTGAAGTTAACTCTATGACGTTGCCACTTGAAGCCGTTTCGTCTCTCGTATGTGCAGGCTTGGCTTTGGTGGGAGCCGGTTTCCTTAACACCTTGTAGTATGCTTCTCTTAATATTTTTATAAGAATCTTTCGAAATCTCATTCCCACCACACCATAAATGACGAAATTAATTGATGAGTTGAAAACAACAACGGTATTGAATATACAGATAAGATAAAAGAAGCTAGAACTATATATGTTATATACGTACACCGCCACAAGGTATGGACCGTTAAGGTTTGACAACACTGAAAACAAAACAATCAGCAACAGTACAACGGTCACATTCGCCTCTTTTCTCTGAAGAGTTCCGGAAGATTGAGTCGTACTCTTCATCTGTACGCGTTTCTTGCGTATTGCACAGAGTTTACAGATGATGGGAATACTAAGTGATATCAGAAGCAGAGTTGGAAAAATGTTGTACATCAACATATTAAACCAGAATGGCCCCTTGGAGTAATAAAACGATTTTCCCACCTCAGTAAAGTGATTTATGTAACACAGGCCACCGTAACATGGGTACCTCACCGGCTTAAACTCGATCAGTTGCTGGATGCTGAACACAAAGAAGAATCCGGTAATGATTGCGAGGATGATGGTGACTCTTTTCTTAGTGCACAGAACATTTGCTTTGTAATAAACACAGACGAAGATGAACCTCTCCGCACAGAGCGTTACAGTGATCCAGATGTTGACACCTCGGAAGAAGTAAATGAGGTAGAGGAGGACGATGTAAATACACGGATACACTACGTCCAGGTAATAGGACCTACCTTCCGGAATCTGGAAAAGGTAATATTCGGACACTGCATTTAGTGACCACACCACGCTGACCACCATGTCCGTGACGGCGAGGGCTCGGAACAGCAGGATGGTTGTGGTGCACTTCATCTTCTTGTGCCACAATACAGCAATTGTCAGCGAGTTCCCAATGATGCCGAGTATTAGCAACATCGGTATAATAACCGGAAACGTGGCATGAACCAAGGCAGGCCACTCTAACTTGGACAGGTAATCACGGCGAATGAGGAAGGTGCTGTCGTTCGTTGTAGAGTTGGGTGGTACAAAGTCCGGGCGGGAGGCACTAATTGGAATATTCATACTCGTGAAGACGGATAAAGCCTACAATGAAAGTAACAAATTGTACATAGTTCACGAATAGGTCAGACATGAATATAAATAATAACTAATCGAATGAAAGGATAGTCTAACTGATTTTAAGTTCGACGTGTTTATTAGATACTAAGCGCTAGTTTTGACACTAGACAAATCTGTGTATCAGATTACACTTTCATAGTCGTATAAAGCTAAATATTAACATACAAGAAAGTATATATAACTGCATTCAGTCAGCTGAATATTAATATAATAATGCTATTTGATATCGTAAGAGGTATGAAAAATACACGAAAAAAACTTACTGGCAATCCTGATACTTTCGCTGAGGAGTAAAATTCTGTCGTACGCTTTAATATATCATTGCGGAGATGTGTGTTGGACGTGTATCGTTTGAATCTGTCCTGTTATAATTGTCCGGGATATTGATCAAGTATCCTCTTATACCGAGCTGTGCATGTCGTCATTGGCACGTGACGACCGTTTGACCTCTGTCTGAGGTGTTTATTGATGCTTTACCTTCCGGTTTTCATGGTAAACATGACCTTATACGTTACACTTTAAACTAGACCAAATGAACTTATACTAGATCGAACTAGTGGTTTATTTTTATATTCATTTCATGATATAACACCTACACGTTTGTTTATCCTCATCAATCACACCCTATAGATGAGACTGATTTAATTTCCGCCTTCGTCGTAACATTTGTATCATATTTTATCACATATCTGTTGCATCTTGTTATAGTAATACAAGCAATTTTCAGACCATGAAATACAACGTTCTGTGTTGCACATGTGCAATTCGGAATGTTGTATTTACCTACCTATTTGCCGGAACTACTTTTTATGGGAATCCCCTTGTCATGGCGAACTAAAAAGTTCCCGGTATTTGCAAAATATATCAAAGTTTATAAAATCTTTGTATCGATCTCTACCAAATACGAAGGTATGTGATAAAAACAAGACCACACACTTTTATTTTTATTAACGAATCAGAAAGCACTCATTTATTGCGCGGACGTATATATTCACTCGTGCGCTCCGCGCACTATCCGCGCACTCGTGAATATATTCGTCCGCGCAATAAATGAGTGCTTTCTGATTCGTTAGAAAAACACAATAGTGTGGTCTTGCATATTTACCAAGAAATCATTGTATCATATACTACTCTGCTGCAATAGTTTGCACAGTAATTTGTTAACTCATTCAAAAACAATGAAAAATGTCTTAACTGACATATAAAAACGCTGAATCTTGTTCAGGAATAAGCCAATGTGTCGGTATTATCAGGGTTAATGTTTCCAGTAACACCAAGCTAAAATATAGTAGTTCCATTGGAACGATCAAGAAATATTTAAGTTCTTTTTGAACAAGAACTACATGTTGAAAAAAAAAGTTCTTCATTGGTATACTTCTCACCGTTTAAAAATTGTATTTTGGAACCCTAAACCTTAAAACGGAAAACTACAGTAGCAAAATAACAAGATAAGTTTTAAAGTCATGTTTTGGTATAGACCAAACATACATGTTTTTCTATGGAACAGAATATTCTCTTGTCTAATTTCAACATTATATAATCTTATGTAACTAATCAAATGTTTATTATTCATGTATTTTTGCACATTTTATGCACGTGCCGTATAATAACTGATCAGAGTTTTTGTATATTTTGAGTGAAACGCCCCGGAATCCGACGCGTATGAATTGCGATTATTTCACCTCTGCAACAACATATTGGAGCCATAAAAACACTCTTTAAAAACACATTTTCAATTGTCTATGCCTCAGCTTATTCAGTCTTTAAAACGGCATATCATCATTCCTAACTTCACATTATAATGCTAGTATTCGTCACTATTATTAAGAGAATGAATTGTTCTTTTTGTTTAAACATATTTTATTGCCAAAAAATGCAAGAGGATTGGGCACAAGTTACATGAACATTATTAACGCCCTTTCCTTATAAGATAAATAATTGTATATACACATCATAAGAATTTATCTATTATTGAGAGAGAGAGAGAGAGAGAGAGAGAGAGAGAG